ATATTTATAATTTATTTATTTTTATTTTTTTATTAATTTAAAAAAAAATACACTTTTGCATACCGTAAATTTAAAACTAAATTCAAAACTAACGTATCCTATATAAATAAATAAATATTTTCATATATATGTATTTATAAGAATATACATATTTTCTACAATCCCTAAAGAATCTTAATGAAATTAGAAACACTTCTCGAGGCCTACATTACCCCCTCTATACGAGCTGTCCGTCTTACAGGGTGCTTGTCGAAGAAGCAATATTGTTTGCGCACGTAAGTATGCAACGATTTATTTCGCTTCTTGTGCGCTGACAGGCCGACCACTTGGACCTCCACAAGCACTCGCAAGACGAAGAAGCAGGAGCGAAAGAAGAGGCGCCAACCACAAGAGCGCCGAGAACATGGAAACCAAAACAACTTGTCAGTCTTGGCGGCGTTGTCTCTGTCAGCGTGTCCTTATGCCGATGCCGACTAATTCATTAACATTTAAGTTGATTGACACACGAGAGAGGGAGAGGGAGAGAGAAAAAGAGAGTGCCCAATATACACACACATTAGCTGCTGTATGTGTGTGTGTGTTTGTTTTTTTTTTTCGGCCACGCACGTACGCGACTTGCTGTCGTTGTTGCTGTGGGCGTGCAGTGGGCGTGCCATTTGTTTATACAGCCATAAGGCATAATGGCTTTGAATTTGGCTAACACGCACACGAGACAAATCAGGTGCACGCGCGCTCGCTGATAGCGAAGCAGATCGTTACTTTGTTAATTTAATAAGCACACTGGCGACGATACAACAGGTGCTGCCACGCCCACGCGCCCAGCAGCCTCAAAAAATGAAGTCACGTCTCGCCCATAAATCAATTGCCATGAGAAGGCGCGTGTAGCGATGTGAAAACTGCATGCACTGCATGCGTTATGTACACAGGAGAGGACGTCTGAAGGATATGGCTGAGGCTGAAGCCAGCACCAGCAGCAGGCTTCTGCAATTGTTACAGCTGTACTTGTGCGCTAACAAAGGGTATTACAATTTTGTCATGAGTTATGTACAGTCGAGCTGATGGGAAGAGGCAGCCTAGCCTAGGCTAGCTCTATGTGATTTTAAGCCAAATTTTATTATGCATAGAGTAAATTTCTGAAGCAGCACTCATTGAAATATAAAACTTTTGACAAGCATATGCCTGCCAGAGTATTAAATTGTCGTTGCACTTTTCTCTCTCTCTCTCTCTCTCTCTCTCTCTCTCTCTCTCTTTCTCTTCGTGCTGCTGTTTGTTGGCAACACGACAGCTGGCATTGGGTGTAGCTAGCAACTGGCGTCTGTCCGTGCGTTTGGGCCATAAATTGAGCGCATGCAATGAAAGTGTAACGAGCCTTAATTTGTTTGTCCAGCGCGCCAAGTGGCCGAGTTAAATGGAAATTATGCGAGTCCGGCAAGACAACTGGGCGCTGTGCCAATGCCAATGCCAAAGGCATGCAAGCCATACAAAATAATGCAGCCTTTATTTTCAATTCAGTTATAATTACATATGGATACGCAGACAGTCTGAAAGGCGATAAGTTTCTTAAGTATGTGATTCCATTGGGCTTAATGGGAGTGCGCAATGGGAATATTCATAATAAAATCATAATTATTTTTAAATTAAAACTGTGTGCTCATCTCGCATGGCTTTATATAATATTTGACAGAAATGCAGCTCAGCTAAGCTAAGCTGAGTTTTCTCTTTAATGATTACCAAGAATTTTGATTTTAGTTTATCAATATTGTGATTGGTTTTCTCACAAAGTCCACTCTGCCATCGGCGTAAATACTGAGAACTGCGAAGGGATCAAAACACTTGTATTAAGTTGCAAGAGTTAAAAGAGCTGAAAGACTTTTACGCACAGCTGTAAATATCATTATGATAGAGAATATAGAGGGAAAACTTGCTCGCCTCGCCTCTTCGATGTATCCGAAAGAGAGAAAGGGACGGCAATGCATTGTTAAATCATGAATTTGGTATTGACAGCAACCTCAGTCGAGACTCTTCAACTATATATGTATGTGTGTATGTGTGCGAGAACTGTACTCGTTAAACACAACGTGAATTGAGTGTGTGCATGTGTAAGTGAGTGTGCGAACGTCAATCGTATTTCTCTTTACGATGATATTCGTGAAAGGAGAGCCACACGAATAGCTCAACTCAAGGCTCTCAACAGAAAGCAAAAACGAAACGAGCCGAAGCTCGACTTCGGGTAACGAAGTCTCTTGCTGGAAGGGAGAGCGAGATGAAACGATCTTCTGTTATTTATGCAAGCTAGGGTATGTGTTCAATGTGTTAATTTCTGAGAGCAGCGAATTGTGGAAGAGCTAATGGAATTGCGCTCTCCTTCAGCTCGCTCACTCTGCGCTTGCTACAGTAGAGCTGAGATGAATTACTAAATGCTCTACATTGAATATATTAATAGAGAGGGAGACATTATAAACAGACAAACTATAAATGTCGATCAACTAGCTGAGATATGATTGAAGCACTTGCGCAATTCTTCCAGCAGAGCTGCAGGAAGAATCCCAAACTGATATCAATTTCCATGCCCATGCATCACTTCCATATTCAGAGTTTAATCAATGCAAACAACAACGACAACAACAACARCAACACTCTCTGCTAGAATTTCTGAGCAGCTGACAGCGCTCATCTATTCAAGTTTTTAGCATTTTCTACAGATTCAATTGCAATAGCTTTACACATATGGAATTGTGGTGCTTGCCCTTTGTCCATGTCGATCACCAGGAGAGTATGGACACGGCAGCGCTGAGCATCTCGGGCACATTCCAGCCATAGCGACGCAGCACGCGCAACGGGCGCATGGCATCCCGTTTCAGCTGTCAAGTGGTATCAATGTAATCAACCAATCAAGATTCGATCTTCATCAATTACTCACCATATTGGTGCGCAGGCGCGACTGGAAGGCCGGCGAGCTGATGGTGTCCGCAAAGAGTCCAAAGTTGTTATGCTTTGCCCTGGCCTCGGCCGTATAGCTGTGCACCTCCTGATTGGGCATGGCGGCCAGTAGATCGCCCACAAAGTTGCGGCCGCGCAGCTGCTTGCAGTCGCAGGTCTTGTTGGCGTATGGCGGCTGCTGCGTTGTTGGCCACGGCTGATCCAGGCAGTCGAAGATGTCCATGATGTTGTCAATGTCGCTGGTATCGACGCCGGCGCTGCGCAGATCTCTCAGCAGCGTCACGTAGGCCTCGCTCTGCTGCAGCTCCTGAATCACCAGCTGGAAGCGCTTCGTCTGGTAGTAGGACATGGCCTTGCGGAACTTGGCATCGCACTGGGAGTGGCCCTGTATGAGCTCCGCTAGTGTATTCACCTCGATGACGCCGCTCAACTCCTGGAAGTTGGGGCACAGCGAATCGTCGCCGAAGTTGCTGTCCTTGGGTGTCGACGGGCARATCGTCGTCGTCGGGTCGGGGACCAGAGCCTGGCAGCCAAGCGCTGCGAATAGTACCAAAATCTTCAAAGCCAGCATTGTCGCTCGATTGACTGCCGCTTCGCAGTGTTGTGGTTGGCGCCAGGGCAGCTCGCTTTTATAGCCAAGTCAAGGGGGCACACGGCAATTACATGTATTTCCTATCAGCTGCGCTCGGCGGCTTATCAAGCGACAAGCGGCACTTAGGATAATTGGCCAGCTAACAGCAATTGCAGCGGGTCAACAACAACAGTTGCTGCTATCTGTGCAACGCAAATAATTGGCAAACAAATGCTGTCACGCCCACTGACGCCCCCCATGCGAGCGACACATGCAGACATCACTTGCAGCTTGTCGAACACACGGTGCAAATTACGAGCATCGTAAGAAGGGGCCTTTCCTTCAGCAGCGAGCAGCGAGCAGCGGGGATTGTCGAAATTATTGTGTCACTTGGCTTAAACGGAAATAACTCTCGCAGAGTCTACACCCTCTGCTGCTGGCCAACTAACCACGCAGACCAGGCTCTAATTGACATTTTCGAAGAGAGTGCATAAAGCAGGCTAAGCTCCACATGGACGACGCTCGGCCACACATGTGTGGACAGGCACTCGCACTCGCTCTTCAAACAGGGCAAAACTCACAAAAACTTTTGCCCAAGCTATGCGTTGTAGCCACTCATGGCTAACAACAACAGCAGCTCAGGGCTTTATCCCCTGCACTGATACAGTGAACAAGCAGAGACCGAGATTTCGAGTTCAGCCGGCACTTGACTTGGGCTTGAACTCAACTTAATTGCCATGGTAATGGCTATGGCTGGTGAGCAGCAAGAAGTAAATTGATATTGCCAAGTGCCTTAGCATGCATTTCTATGGCTGTGCACTGGCCGTTATACAGATAACTCAACTCAATTCAACTCAAACTCACTTTATCCGCAGGTGAATCAAACGCAAAATTCATACGCCCCGTTGCCCCGTTGCTCCGCAGCCAATGCAACAATCGATACGCACACACATGCATGCACATGTTATTTACTATGCTAAGCTCTGGCCTTGGCTTGACAACCAACAACAACAACAACAACAGCAGCAGCAGCAACAACAACAACAACAGCAACAATGCAATACAATAAAAAACTGTTTGCAGGTCAAACAAGTCAACCGGAAATAGTTGACCGTTCCTTTGTGTGCACAGCATTCATATTTGTTTGCTCTCCCTCTCTCTCTGTATTTCTTCCTTTTTTTTATCTATTTGTCACACTTTGTAATTCGTTTATATACTCTGCAGTTGTTTGGTTGTCGTTTAAAATCAATTTCGTATACATTTGAAGGTTTTCACAAAACAAAAACCTGATGTTTGATTGCCGAAATGTTTATGAGCTCAATCATACTTTAGCTAGAAAGTGAGAGTGTATATATTTATTTAAAATATTAAAGTGTAGAATTTTATTTTATATAAATTCCCATTATCATTCGGCTATCAAGCTATTATACACTTCCTGCCCACATTTACTCCCACTCTTATTATTTATGATCTCTTTTAGTTCTTCCATTGCTGCTGCCTTTGGCCCCTCACTTGTCGCTTAGTCATGTTCTTTCATAGGGCTATTCAGTTTCGGCAGAAATAAAAAGCCAACAGGCGTCTCATTAGACTTGTTTTGGGTCAAAAATGCAATGCAGATTTTTTGCTAGATTTTTTGGAACAGGCAAAACTGTAAGAGAAGACAAAAGACATCCAAGTGAAACGTAGGAGCAAATGTACTAACATGTCGGCATAAATGAGTGACATAAAGACGAATGCAACCACAAGAGAAGAAAATCCAAATAGAATAATTCGAAAATGGATGTCTTTAGTCCGGAATAATTCAACATTCCTGTTGATTGTTAAGTGTAGTTTAAGTAGTTTAAATGATATATGTTGAGCAAATAAGTGTTCTTTCCTATAATAATATAATATATAAGTATAAGTATTTGTTATATCACAATTTTCCAAAATTATTATTCTATTTAAATAAAGTTACACCAAAAGAATGGCCTCAACGATTCCTCAGAGATTCTTGTTTAATTTCAAATATAAAAGTATATAGAAACAGAAGGCAAATTTAATAAATATAAAATAGAGCTATATACATATGTATGTTAGATAGATAGAGAGCTCAACGCTGGCAAAGCACATAAATAATTGAAAATTTGCAAGACAAATCTCTGTTGTTCATCACAAAGCAAAGAGCTCAACCTTGGCAAGAAAAAATAAAGTTTTTTATTTGCAAGGAAAAGTTGAATATTTACGAAGCCATTTAACTTTTCATTTCCTATTTTTTATTATTTATTATACATACATATTTATTTTTGATGCATTTAAGAATTGAAAAGAAGGCAAATAAACGGAATTTAAAAGCAAAATAAATTGAAGCAGATAAACAAAATGTTGCACAAGTGAAGATAAAATTATTTGAGTGGAGTGAAAAATGAGCGACTAAAGGATGCCACTGAATTGACTTTGCTTAAGACTAAATAATTTAACTGCTTAATATATACACAATTTTAATTAATAAATTTGCTGACTTTTCGTCATTTTAAAATTTTCTGCATTGCCCTAAACAACTAAACAGACTCTTAAAATTTCAGTCCAGTCCAGAGTATAGCCATTGCCTCTATGGCATCAGCTTTGGCAACAAGAGAAACGGCAGCAAGTGCGGTCAAAGGTTAAGTTGCACAGGCAACAAAACTGTCAGCATGCAAAAGTGTCTGGACGACAGTTGAATGGCAATTGCACCTGAGGCACCTGAGAGTGTGCAACAGCATGATGATAAATGATTGGGTTATTTGCCCAATTGCCAAGTGACCCCCATGCGATAAATTTGATTGTGTGTGTGTGTGTGTGTGTGTGTGTCTGTGCTGTACTATGTATTTAAATGTGTTCATTTGCAAAGGGCCATAGGTAAAAGCTCAACTTTTTGCTGACCAAAAATGCTTAAACAGAAAGTGTTGCCTACTTTTGGGCGGTGCGGGCAAATTGCGCAATGTGGTCGCTGTCATTTGCAATAGATTTTCATGTAATTAGTTTTATCTGCTAATAGAATGTCACTGGCCATACATACCACAAACAATTGAGTTCACAGCACAGACAGAGGGAGAGAAAGAGACAGAGAGAGAGAGAGAAACAGAGACAGACACTGAATGTGTGCGTATGTGATTTTTTTTGTTTTTTTTTTTTCAAATTGCATTTGTTTTTCTGTTTTGTTTGCGAGCTGTTTGAGATTTTGCGCATCGACCACAAAATAGACGACAGACAGCAGCAGTACAACAGCCACTTAGCTGTGCGTGTGTGTGTGTGTGTGTGACAATTTCAGAGACTCATGTGCTATTTTCATTTCCCTGGACAATTTACTCAATTAGACCAGAACTTGAAGGCTTTGTGGCATTTGGGAGAATCGCTTTATTATTGCACTCCAAGCAGCGTTGGGCGCATGAAGTGGAAATGGGAATGGATATGTGAATGAGAATGGGAATTGGCATCTCGATATGGAGTCAAAGCTGTTCTTATACAGTTACATACTATATACACATGTACATATATGTATATGGCTTTCCTTCTGATAAACCTGCTTCGATGATGTCGGCTGCTGTGAAAGTTAAGCACCAAACTAACGCCGATAAACAGGCTTAATTAGCGTCAGAGCTGAAAGTCAACAGACTGGCGCATTAAGCCAGAGTCCAAACACAGACACACACACACACACACACAGACGCATATAGAAATAAAATTAATGCCAGTTGAGACATTGGCAGTATGTTTTCTATGGGGTCCCGTTAGGCTTAACAGTGGCAGCCGAAGCTGCCGAGTTTCCTGCTTAATTATGTGCAAGCAACAATGATATTTACAATATTATCAGCCAGTGGCCCAGACAAAGATGCCCTCGTTGCACGTCTATAACCCAAAGAGCTCATTGGGAGCAGGGAATTTAAATTCAGAGCCATGCTCGAAGCTGTTGAAAATGAAAAATCATCTCGGCAAACATCTGCGACGTCAGCAGACAAATGATGCGACGGCGAAATCAGTGAACCCTGCTCAGAGGCCTAGACAAGAATAGTTCTCGGCTTAAGTATCAGATATATCAGGGTGCATTCACTTCTATCAAACACTCAAGTCGAACTGTGCAAATGACAATAACAACAACAGCAACAATAGCAGCAAACCTGTTGCCAGCTGACATAGTCAATGACAGACCATTTTTCAAACTAACCGCCTTCTGTTAAGGGTGCTCGAACAGGAGGACATAAAAAATGCTAGGAAAAAAAAAAACAAAAAACAAAAAAAAAAGCAACAACAAAAATGTCAGCAAGCCGCCATTGTTAGGGCTGACCTAAACAATTAAAAAGGCAAATGGCGTGCACAGGTATGCATACACAGGTAGACAACAAAAGTGAATATAGAAAGCGACATGCCGTGCACGAGTCGTATTCACAACAACAAAAGCAGCAGCAACGACAGTAACAACAACAACAACTCAACTAAGCAAAACAACATCCAAATGGTGCACACTCATCGCAGTCACATTTCTCAATTTTTATGACAGCTTTGCAGTTGGAGTGCGGGGCAGGCAGCACGAGTGGGTGGGAACACGTTCGTGAGTGGGTGCTTATGTATCTGCAAAATGTTTCGAACAATGCAAATAAACAACAGCAACAATTTGCCATCCAATGGTATGCTAGACCTTAAATTACCCTATCAAGGTGTAAATTATCGATCATACTTCCAATCAAAAATCAATTATATATAAGTATAAGTATATATGTAATACTTATTAACTAGCGTTAATATATGAGGGTACATAATATCAATGTGAGCTAAGATTGAAGCATATAATTGAAGTTGCTAGGCAAATTGAGCGCTTTTGCATGTTCCACTCAGACAGGGACGCGTCCCTGCCCACTCATAGCTACATATTAAGATCCATTCACCCTCACAGGTATCCCTCATCCGAACGGACACACACACACATTCGCAGAAAGGAGCTGCTTAGAGGCCGACAAAGTGCCTATGGGCCGTATGTGTTTGCACAGCTGTTGGCTTGGGGTTTATCACT